TTCTCAAGGCGATATGTCGTTTATTTATACAAATATATATATACATATCTATATGTACACACACACACACACACACACACACACACACACACACACACACACACACACACACATACACACACACACACACACGCACACATACACACAGACACACACACACACACATATATATATATATATATATATATATATATATATATATATATATATATATATATATACACACGCACACACACATATATAGATATGCGTTGCCTCACTTCTCGTTCCTTTCACAAACAATATTTACAATTACACGAATAACTTCATGTCGACTAGTTTTATTTGCAAAAGAATAAAATAATTTAACGTTAAATAACAATTATAAGCAATAGCAACAGACATTGTGGTCTAGTAAACGACATATTTCATACCATCGGCTTGAATGGCACCATGATAACTGTCCGTGACGTCACAAGGGTATCACTAGTATTGCCACACTAAGGCGACCAGAGAGCTACCTTGGGTAAAGCATGTCGAGGGGTATGGCTGAAGCTTCTCGTCTCTTAGGTATGGGGCCTTTAATATATTCATCTACAGTATATATGTGTGTGTGTGATGAAATTTGTATATGTGTGTGTGCGTGTGCGTGCGTCCTTACGAGTCCCCGTCATTGGCATGTGTTCGCCCGTCGCCCTCTTAGTATTTCATATATAGAATTGTGTATATTTGTATATGTACACATTTTTTATATATAGTATTATGCACATATGTATGTATGTGTATATTGTTCAACGAATAAGAAATTTTATTTTGATCTTCTCCTTTTTTCTAAGGAACATATTAGCACGATAACTGTTGATGAGCTACGGTGTAACAAAAATATAAAAGGGAAAGCATGTAAAGGGATAATTATCTTCAAGAGATAAGAATTGAAAACCTTACAGTGTAGAATTTAAAGAACAGACTGAAACTAAGCACTGAACCTGGGTAATGAATGCAAAGGCTTAAGAGTCTAAAGCCCTCATGTCTCACGACACTGAAGTGTCGCCAGTCCTTTCTCGCGACGCTTTCCCGGGCGTTCGCGACAGCCACGTGTCACTGTCACCATTATAAATCAATCAGTTGACTGTTGAGCGAGACCTAAGCGCCGCCCATCGCACCTTTTCCTTCGTCTATCAACACCGGTTTCGAATATCACACTCCTTTAAATGTTTGAATAGGCCATTTTTTATCATTTGATATTAATTACATTTAAAAGCATATATAAGTTTCCGCCCTCATACAATTATACCTACACAACAAGTAAAATGATGGAAAACTTTCCGCGCATGTCAACCAATCGTACAGTAAAATAAGTGTATGGAATGGATACCTTGACGAAAAGTAAGACACTTTTCATCTATGGCAACAACTGCGCAAATTTAAAATAAGGGAGATACAGGACAGAGAAGAGAGAAGCTCGACCCTTCATTTTCTAAGTCCCCTTCCATGTTTACCTCGCGAGGATCAAAACAAATGTGACGCGTAACTCATTACTGCGATCCAGCAAGTAGTCCATGTATTGCTACGCGCTTGTGAGAACGTTTATTTTGTCATTACTAGCGTCTGATTCTCTGAATTCATGTATGTAATGCATTCTTCTAGTTTTATTATACTTCTCTTGCGTCTTTTGGTAATTATTTACGTTATTCTGTACAATAACCTTTTGCGCATGCATGAGATTTGACAAGTCGACCCACCGCCATTCACTGAGAAACACCGGTGAAAAATGTTTGATTTCAAGTGCTGTGTCGACATCGGGTTATTTTTAAAACTATATTGTGGATATACAGGACAAATAGACATTATTCTCAATCACAAGCCTGATATTTGAGCCCAACAAGTGCCCCAAATGCCGAAAAAAGTGATTAGAAACCAAGCAATTCTGACCATGGACGGAAGCGCACAAAAGTTCGGTTTTTCGTTTTATAAAGGTATGTGGTATATTACTACGGGGGTCCAGGGGGCGTAACCCCCTGGCTAGACGCATTTAACCCATTGCCGCCGGGGAAGATGAACAAAAAATGGGGGAAATGCTGTGCCTATTTTCTATACTTTTTTGTTAAATGTCTGCCCATAGATGGTTCTGTTAGCGCCTGATTTGAAACACGTATTTTTCACTAGTGCCATGAATATCGATGGTGTTATTTTGGAAAACTTTCCGCGCATGTCAACCAATCGTACAGTAAAATAAGTGTATGGAATGGATACCTTGACGAAAAGTAAGACACTTTTCATCTATGGCAACAACTGCGCAAATCTAAAATAAGGGAGATATAGGACAGAGAAGAGAGAAACTCAACCCTTCATTTTCTAAGTCCCCTTCCATGTTTACCTTGCGAGATCAAAACAATTGTGACGCGTAACTCATTACTGCGCTCCAGCAAGTAGTCCATGTATTGCTACGCGCTTGTGAGAACGCTTATTTTGTCATTACTAGCGTCTGATTCTCTGAATTCATGTATGTAATGCATTCTTCTAGTTTTATTATACTTCTCTTGCGTCTTTTGGTAATTAGTTACGTTATTCTGTACAATAACCTTTTGCGCATGCGTGTTTTCACCGGGAGATTTGACAGGTCGATCCACCGCAATTCGTTCAGAAACAACGGTGAAAAATGTTTCATTTCAAGTGCTGTGTCGACATCGGGTTATTTTTAAAACTATATTGTGGATATACAGGACAAATAGACATTATTCTCAATCACAAGCCTGATATTTGAGCCCAACAAGTGCCCCAAATGCCGAAAAAAGTTATTAGAAACCAAGCAATTCTGACCATAGACGGAAGCGCAGAAAAGTTCGGTTTTTCAATTTATAAAGGTACGTGGTATATTACTACGGGGGTCCAGGGGGCGTAGCCCCCTGGCTAGGCGCATTTAATACCATGGGGGTCCAGGGGGCAGAGCCCCCTGCCTAGGGAATGTATAGATCGTAGTGTATAAATCCCACAGGGTTAGGTTAGGTTGGTTAGGTTAGGTTAGGTTGGTTTGTTACCACAGGGGATCTGGATTATGTGAAATCCCGTAGATTTTTACCGAACGGTGGGTTTGGTTCCCGTAGAGTTTTTCGAAATGTGGCGCGCCGGTCCGTAGACTTTGAAAGATGGCGGCGATGTCCATAGAGTTTCATGATCCGATTTTAAGCGTTTTTTGTGCTTGTTTTACACATTTCTGCTCTCCATTTTGCTTATTTCAGCGTGTTTTACCCCGTAATTTCCCTGATCTACTTCATGCCCTCCCCTGCTATCGAGACTTATGAAAACACATCAAGATTGTCGGCTGGAGAATCCGACGGAGAATATCATCAGATTCGTTCTCATCACACGAGAACAAATTTGATGATATAAACATTGTCAGGGAAGACCCAGTTGTCATTTTTGGAAAATTAACCGTTATTTTTATCATAAACATTGTAATTTTTATAATGTTTTTTAACATTAGTAACAGCAAAATAAGATACCGTAAATTATTTCGTAAATCAAAGAAAAGGGTGAACGGGCGAGACAGGCGGTGCTCGTAACTGGCTCATTGGTAATTTAGTACAAGTGTAGCCATCTATGTGTGAAAACAATCTAACAAGTAATCTCACAGTGGCCATGGCATGGCATGCCCGGCGGGGATGTCCAGGGGGCAGAGCCCCTCTGGTTAGGGAATGTATAGATCGTAGTGTATAAATCCCACAGGGTTAGGTTAGGTTAGGTTGGTTTATTGGTTAGGACGCATTGTACGATTACCACAGGGGATCTGGATTATGTGAAATCCCGTAGATTTTTACCGAACGGTTTGGTTCCCGTAGAGTTTTCCGAAATTTGGCGCGTCGGTCCGTAGACTTTGAAAGATGGCGGCGATGTCCGTAGAGTTTCATTAGCCGAATTTAAGCGTTTTTTGTGCTTGTTTTACACATTTCTGCTCTCTATTTTGCTTATTTCAGCCTGTTTTACCCCGTAATTTCCCTGATCTACTTCATGCCCTCCCCTGCTATCGGGACTTATGAAAACACATCAAGATTGTCGGCTGGAGAATCCGACGGAGAATAACATCAGATTCGTTCTCATCACACGAGAACAAATTTGATGATATAAACATTGTCAGGGAAGACCCAGTTGTCATTTTTGGAAAATTAACCAAAAGGATTATGTACAACTTAACATAATTTTTCGCAATAAACTATAATGGCTAAAGCATAATGGATATAATAAAAACAATGATCATTGATGCCTGTGCAGGACATATCGAAATGTGTTGATTAAAAGCATAGGCATACGAAAGATAAACCTTACCCCGCTATTCTAAGCCATGGCCTTGTTGATTTAAAAACCTTTTGATATTAAAACTTATACTCTAGATTGTTATCTATGATAGTAGTGCAGTTTTTCAATATTAGTATTTTGTTGCCAAAGCATGACGATCTAGTGAAAAGGTTCATCATGTTTCCCCAAACTCCCTTACTATGAGAGATATTTCTTAGGATCACATCACACACACACACACACACACACACACACACACACACACACACACACACACACACACACACACACACACACACACACACACACACACACGTAAATACATTTAGCCCAGCACTCCATGCAATAATATCTTCACTAACATCACCATTGTCATAAATAATACACTATACAGCGCATCATCGGATTTCAACTTCCCATTTCCTTCCAGTTCCGAGCCAGGCAGAGCGAGTGAGTGAGATTTGTCTAGTCTAATCTAGTCCAGAACCCCCCCCCCCCCAGTGTGACATCATTCTAGAGCATTTTTACAGCGAGATACATGAATGCCGTGCGATATAACGCCCCCCCCACCACCCCCGCCCCTTTGCCCTGTCCCTCATATGGGCGGTGAAAACTTTCTGGCAGTTCTCTTCGAATTGTTTTTGAAACGTTTATTTTTGAAAAGAGCAACTATCTTACATCTGGCATGCGGCGCACCGGCCCAAGGATTGCTCACTCGCGAAGATAGA